TCGATATATAATTCGTTTTGCGTGCAATCAATGCAGCGAAAAAAAATTAATTAAAAAAAATTCTCGTATTCGGGGAACCTCTTTCTGTTATCGAATTCCTTGATCAAAACGTCAGAGTCGTATAAAAAAATATCGAAACAAGCGGGTGAGTATCGTCCTAAATTCTGCTTACGCGGAATTATCGTTTATCCTATGAAATCAATCCCATCCTTTTCATCTTACTTCGTTTGTCTTTCTCGTTTTGCTTCTATTTCGGTTAGCTTTTTGTCCAAACCGAATAAACTGTAAAGAATGGCTATGGACGAGACTGGATAATCGAAAAGAGCCTGTGGGCCCCAAAACGAAAGAAATGGAAAAATAAACTGTGAAAAGCATGAGAAATATGCGCGAGAAGGCTGGCGGACAAAGAACGAAATACAAAGACGAAAACAGCATGCAGAGAGAAACGATGAATAAAGATGATTAATTTTATTTATTCATTTTATATTTTTGTCATTAAGAGTTATTATAGTTATCTGATTATAGAACAAATTTTTAAATTTATATTACAATTCTGTTATTCATTTATTCAATAAATAATATAATATAATAGATCAGGCAAAATTTTTTGTTTAATTTGCATGCTCATTTTACATTCCATTCAAGACAAAATATATAATGGCGGATCTATAAATATTTTTCCCTTTTTTCTTAAATAAGAAATAATTGAAGTTATTCCCTTAAACGAGAAAAGTATTAAAAATTTTCGAATTATTTTTTAATTATTATTATTTCCTTCTAACTAAAAACCAATAAAGAAAATACATGGAACCGTAATACGAAACAAGCGTAGGATAAGAAAAAGCAAAATCTTTTAATGTAATTAATTTCGGTCGATAATACAGCGAAACTAGATAAGAAATGGCCGGTTTGAAATCGTACTATAAATTTAACACGGCCTACACGATACACCACTTAAGCGCAAATACGAAACCGATATCTCTGGGAGAGGATGCGCGCACATACGTTAAATCGGTGGCTATAGAGTGAGACGTGAGGTCGCGCGTGTCCCGAGGCAGAACTCGTCGAAGAACGTTTCAATTTCCTTGGCAGACGGTGATGGACAGGGAGGCGAGTCACCTCTTGCGATCCCTGAGATCCTATTATCGCGTCTAGGTCTTTCTTTCTCGCGCCTTTATCCTCCTTTGCTTCGCGTCTTTATTCGAAAACGAAGTGGGAATTGAGATGCATTTCGCTCGAGGAAGGGAGTTTTTATTTCGCGTTGAGGTTATTTTTCTCATTGTAATAAAGTGTGCAAGAGAAATATGAAGTGGAAAATGATGTTAAATAATCGTGCAGATTTATTGTTATAGTCAAGATTGTTGTAAATAGATCAGATCAGCTTATAGGTTATGTTTTTTTAGAATTGGAAAATATTGGTGAAAGACACTAGAACAGGTATGGTTGGACTACTTTCTAGTTGTTCATAGTACGAACTATGTATGTGTTATGTTATAATCGATAAACTAAACAACTTTGATTTTTTTCCTTGAATTATTACATTACATGATAATTAAAAACTATTCCTCGTAAACAAAACGATAATTTACATCAAGATTTTTGAATGCGATAGTCGAATGCTTTATTCTATTTCTCATCTTAACAATAATATATATCTTTTTATTTCTCGTTTCCATTTTGAACAAGCTTTAATTATCTCTTATTTAAGAAAAAGAATTTACATTATACTTCTGTCACAAAT